CTAATGTGAACTTCACCTACTGCTTTGCCCTAACTTTATTGCTTTGCTTCCATATTCCAGAATGTTCTTCACTCTAAGATGGTCCTTCATTCTTTCATTCTATAAATTTTGTTGAGAACTTTCTACATACCAGAAAAATAAGACAGAGGGTCTACCCCAGGAAGCTCCATTGCAGAGACAGGGCTTGACACAGTTGGCACAAAGGAGGCCCTGGGCATTCCATGTCATTCCAACTGGGGATTTGTTTTTGACTTGGATCCATCAGGAGTTCATCTCACCCACTGAAAGGAAAGAAACTTCAAGGATTCCTCCATTATCATAGCTGGTCAGAGAATGAAAGCCATTACAATGGAGAGGGAGAAACTGGAGCCCCTCCCAACAAACCGGAAAGCCATGGGTAATAAGTAAGCAGGTTTTAATGGAGAGAATACTTTCTGTGAAATTTGAATAACTACATAAATTAGGATATAATTTTTCACTTTTGGTAATGAAGTTGCATTAACCTGTAAGCTCCAAGAAGCTCTGTTTCTATCAGGTTTGCACAAAGAGAACACTCAGTTTCAAATATACGTCATATTGCCCCTATTGACCATTGAGTTACCCTACTTGTCTTAATATTTTGGCATGAAGTCACAATCTCTGGGTTTGGACTGCTGGTTTCCACTCCTAAGCTGTGTAACTTAGTACCCAAGTGATTAAGGGTATTTCTTGTCTCCGTTTCCCCAACTATTGAATAAAGATAATACACAGGGCCTACTTCATAATTATCATAAGAAGTAAGGCAGCTAACATATGTGGAGAACTACGAATTGTGCCTGGCACATATTAAGAACTTCATAACATATTAACATCACTGCTGTTTCCAAACTGGCTCCCTCATCTGCAAGCAAGGAAGAGTTCTTTTGATGGGCCACATGTCATGATTGTGGGCTCAGACAATATGTCCTGGGCCTGTAGGAACACGAGGCTCTGGGTGGTTGGCCCCCAACTTCTGTCTTTGATAAAAGAGCACACATTTTCCAGCCACAAGTTTGAGAAGCTCCCATGCTGTACCTCAAAGCTCCCGTCTAACTCATTCTCTAAAAATTCCAAGCAGACCTGCTTGCCTCATAAAAGCTGATGAAAGACAGAAACCACCTTTGAGGCCTGTTTTCTTTTTTACAGTTTTAACTGGAAAACTGATGAAAATAGACTTATCTCCTCTTTTATTTTTGAAAATCGCTATTAAATAGAACATTGGTTATCCAGGCAATTGTACCCAAGTATTTTATGCTCCATTAATATATTAGCATTACTTTAATACTTAAGGTATTATAATACAGACAATCAAAGCAAACAGGTCATCATTTCTTATGGGTTAGTCGCAATGATACAAATATTGCAACAAGAGTGAGCTGAGTAACAGTCATATGTCCATGTCACATGGATGGAAGAGACCAAGAAAATGTCACGGGGAATCGTTTAGAATTGGTACATTAAAAGTTAATGATTTTAGGGTGAGTCAGTGATGGGAAACCCACAGGGATTACAATTGAGATGAAAAAAAAGTACAAAATGATGTAAAAATAAACTATTATA